TAAAATTTTTATTTTCCGCGTCGTCGATAATTTACTACGTAACTGCGTATTCTTCAGAGAATAATGATTTGTGTAGATTTTTTCCTCGGTGTTCTCAGAAGAACCGTCTTCTACTTGTTATTCCAGCTCCATAAAAATTATTAATTTTTATTTGTTATTATTTTTACGGAGTCATTAAGTAGCAACAGTGGCCATCGTCAGTGCTAATCAGTTTGTAATGAGTGCCGTTTGGAAATCGCTTGCTCTTTCGAAATGTTTGTTTTGATATATGTTTTACCAAATATGGCGCTGATAGGTATTCGGTAGTGGGATGGCATCTTCAGAGTAATTGTTTTTAAATCGCATCTTTTTGCCACGAATAATTTCCCCTTGACCACTAAAATTGCATCACTTCTTTGAATTTTTTAAGATGGCAACACTGTATCTCTTAATTGCAATCGATTTACAAAACAAAATAAATAAATAAAAATGGTAAATTCAACAAGGGTTACATTGGTAAGACAATAATATGTTAAAATAGAATACATATATATTTTTAAACGTTTTTGTTCAGTAATTTTATTTTCATAGATCGAATTTTTACGGTTTGCGTACAGTTTTTATCGCCTTTTTGATCGAGAATGTAGGGCTGGGGGGGGATATGAATCCCACTTGCGATTTCTGAGATGCAAATCGAGGTTCTGTATTGATTAATAGATTTCAATAAAATGCCCTTAAGGTATCCGACTACGTTCGGAACTGTGATTTTCAAAAGCACATAAATGGATAATTTTCATGATATTTAGTGTCACTTAGATTAGAATATATGCATAAAATTGTTTTAAGGACATTTTGACAAAAAAAATTATTTGAATACAATATTTTGGCAAAAAATTAACTTAGAATAATCTTTTTTCCAAATGTTCTCCTTTTGTGAAAAATGCTTCTATTAGAATAATATTTTGCCTGTATATAGCTCAGACCTCTGTTCAGAGGCTCAACTAGAATTTTTGAAATATATAACTTAGAAGTGGGTTTATTTATATTACGACAACAGAGGGGGAGCAATTTTAAGAAAAAAAAACGCCAATAATTATTTCAATTGGTGGGGTAACTCTGAAAATGTGAATTTTTCCAAAATTCTAGTTGAGCCTCTGTAGAAAGAGGTCTGAGCTATATACAAGCAAAATATTATTATAATAGAACCATTTTTCACAAAGGGAAAACATTTGGAAAAAAGATTATTCTAAGTTAATTTTTTTACCAAAATATTACATTTAAATAATTTTTTTTTTTTTTTGTCAAAATGTCCTTAAAACAGTTTTATGCATGTATTCTAATCTGAGTGACACTAAATATCATGAAAGTTATCCATTTATGCGCTGTTTTAAAATCACGGTTCCGAACGTAATCGGATACCTTAAAGGTTTATGGAAGAGAATAGATATAGATGTTATGTATTGAAAACACAATTAAGGAACTTTCAAGTAGTAATGCACCTAACTGTGAGAACAAAAGAAAAAAAAATTGGTACTGCAGAAATGGAAACATTTTATATTATTGAATATCTTATTGTAATGCGTTGGATCAAATGCCATGAATACTGCAAATGCGTAAGGGCGCTGTTTTATTCGAGGTGGATATTGTAAAACAAGAATATATATAAAATACAATGAAATGCAATTTTTGTAAGTGCAAATACACTTGGGTTTATTATTTCATCGAACTGCTTCTCAAAGTTTTCCAGAAAATTAAAATCTTTTTTTTTAATGTACAAGAAATATATATACAAAATGTTTTGGTTTTTAATATTTTTATTTTTTAAGCATGGAAATTGAAAGAAATTCGTGCAGGAGGCACATTCAACTGTGAATTTTCAATTGTCAAAGTAATAATAGCTTGTCCCATTTATTAAGACGTCGTACAGTTGTTCCAGAAGTATTTTCAAAAAACAGTGTCACACTGATTTTTTGCTTAAACATTTTAGTAGACCCTTTAATTTAGGTCAATTATGCAATATCAATTTTTTTTTCATTTTGTAACATGGCCTTAATGAGCTGCTGGAAACTATATACCTTTTTTTTAAGTGTGCAAAAGAGTGAAAAAATCTATGGAGACCAGCTGAATGAGTGTTTTACTGTATGAAAGAAAGGAACATATTTAAGTAGTATAAGGTGTTATAGTCAACAATTGTAAAAAAGTACGTTGGAAAGTCTTATAAAAAAACTGTTGGGGTTAATCGTACTAGAAAATCTGAAGTATAATGATTAGTTTAAAATGCATGACATGTAAAAAAAATGTCGAATTTAAATATTTCGTGAGATTTAATTTTATTTAAAAAAAATTTTATGCATTTTCGATAGGTTTTTAATTTTTCGGCGGGTTTACTGTGAAATTCGAAATATAGTCAACGTGGCCGCAGTAGCCTAGTGGTCAAGGTAACGGACTCCTGGACTTTAAATTTGACGAGAGCTCAAACGTCCTCCCGTTGGTGTGGTGTGGTAGTTAGGAGAAGGTGTGCCAGCTCCAGTGTCATCCTCATAACTTGACCACGTTTCAAAATTACGAGCTCCGTCCCCAGTGATTAATATACTCACTCACCCAAATTAGTCTACATATGAACACTTTATTTATTTATTTCGATTTTTACTGTATGCACATTAATTTTCACCGGTGGTTGCTTCTTTGAACAGTTTCGAAAATTTTAATTTGACATGTTTTTGAAATCATTATCTTACTGTACTTGCCTTTTAATGCGATTTTTGCTTACTACTCTTAGTCACTATTACGATCTCTTTGACAAAATGCGTTTTCCTATATTTTGCGAAAATTGCATCTGCTTTATCTTATATATATATAAATGGATGCTTGTATGTACCATTCAACCGATCATTATGAAAATTGACATGCATATGTATTTTTTTTTGTGGAGAAGGTTTTTGTGCTATCCTCTTTGTCGCAGCTCCCCACCAGGTAACGCTACAGCATATCAACGTCGGCACCGTTCACTCAATCGCCAAATTGCTTACGTGATCGCCAGAAATGATGTCAACTTGGCTTTATCACCAACATTTCGCTATGTTTCCATTGAATCGCCATTATAATGTAAGGAACGGCGTTGCTTGCGACTGTTACAATTTTAATACAAAATAAATACAACAGAAAGTAGTATTAACAAAGTACACATTCAGATATAAATTATTTACTCTATTTTAAGCGTTCATTACTCAAAATTTGTAGCAATGTGTTATTTTTCCTGAGCAGAGATCAGCTTAGGAAGGTGTTTTCAAAAATCGACCCACAGGAGGGTTACGGGGCGTTATGCATTAAAAAAAATCCCTTTTTTACAGGGCCTACAGACTTAAAATTTAACAAATCAACTGAGATAAGTTTCCAGCCGATCAGTTCATGTGCTTCGCTATTGCCAATTTTTGCTTTTTACAGAAACTTTTTTAAAAAGTACATATTTGTCAACAATAATAACGCACATAAATAGGCAAAATCCAGTTTATTCAAAAATACAAGCGTGTAATATGAAACTTTATATTCTGAAAAACTTTGGAGAACTTTAAATAGTAGAACATTTTTATCTTTTATCGAATTTGAAATTTTATCAAACAAATACAAGTACAGCAATAAGTACAAATCTGATGTTAGTTCTGAATTCTTTGGAGAACACGTGATTGCATTTATCGTGTGACTGTCATGAATTTAGCCTATTTCCTTATCGTTCACAATATTTTCAGTACTTGTTAACAGTGAATGGTAAAATTTTATAATGGAGTGAGTGTTATATGGTTGTTCTATATGTCTACAAGTTTTCATTACATTAATAAGATCTTGATAGTATGATTTTTAAATCTTTTTAATTGTGTTACTTGAATATAAAATTATATTTTTCTTAAGATCAACTTCACCGTTCCTTCTTTCAATTCTTACTATTAGCTCACACTCTCCCAATATTTATTTATCTTCGTGGATTTTCAATCGTTAATAAAATACATTTTAAAATTGATTTGAAATTTTATATTCTTGATTATTTTGGATGACAATTCAGTAATTTAATTAAAATTAATAAAAATTAATTGATTAAAACTTTTAATTGTTTTTTTTGGCGACTAGTGTCAAAACTAAAAGGTTTTTTCTCACGTTTTAAAGCATTCTGTTGAACTGAAATTTTGGCCGCGGTAGCCGAGTGGTATAGGTATCGGAACGTGGCTTGCTTTGTCACGAGTTCGACCCAGTACCACTAAAGACCCGCCGTGTCAAAAAATCTGTCGAAAAACGTCCTCCCGTTTTTCTCACGTTTTGTCGTCCAAGCATTCCATGTTGAAAAGCCCTCGTGTAGCTGAACAGTTTTATTCAATCAATCAATCAATGAACTGACTGAAATTTTATAGATTGTTTTGGATGACAATACGATACTTTTATGATAATTAATAAAAATTAATTACCACTTAATGTTGTGATTCTGTCCTATGTATATACATATTTATATTAATTGTAACTATTTAATAAAAAGTAGCTAAAATAAAATGTTTCTTTGCTGATCTAAGTAGGAATTGACTTAAACAATTTTTTTTATATTACTTGTTATTATTATTATCTTTTCTGTTTAATAATGCCAAAAATTTCAGTATTTCAAGAACTCTTAAATAAAGTATTACAGGAATACGCTGAATAATTTTTTTTCTGAAATTTTATTAGCTGGATAAACCTTCCAATTAACAAGTAAAATAAAAAAGAAAATTGTAAGTCAATTCCTACTGATATATATATATATATATATATATATATATATATATATATATATAAATTTTATTTTAGCTACTTTTTATTAAATAGTTTCAATTAATATAAATAGGTATATACATATGACAGAATCACAATATTAAGTGACAAAATATAAAGCGATTTCCCTAGCAATTTTCCTTTATATATCTATTTATTGAAAAATTATAAATTTAATTATTCTTATAAAATTATATAGTAAAAAGAAATCACATTCTCAGAAATTCGACCATCTCAGGTGGGATTCGAACCCACGACCTTTCGATTAGAAGTCCAACGCGCGCGCGCTTTCCATTGCGCTACAGGGACATAACGAACGATTTTCATTTCTATGTATGCTGTAGGGCTATTATATTTGTAATATAAATAAATATATGACGAATAATAAGAATTGAAGAAAACTATGCGTGGTTTTTAGTCTGTACACAGTAATCTATTTTAACGTGATACTCGTTTTTTTTTAATTTATGAATATGTATTAAGAGGAATCATCTTTTAACAATTTTGGTTATATGTGCAAGCGGCGTGATTCGTTGAGTGAGAAGTTTCTGTGAAGACAACCGCCTTTATGACGGATTTGCTATATTTGACAGAGAATGTATTTCGAGAATTAAGTGAATTCACTTCTAATACTTATATTAATCAAAGAACTATTATTTAATCTGAAATCTATCTCATTGAGCCTGCCAACGCATTACAAACTCCTTTCCTGTATTTCCGTCATCGCCGGCAAATCGTTTTGACGAGTGGACGCAAAATTTCATCTCTCTTGCGTCAAAAACGATTTGAACAACCCATTCTTGAGAGACCTTGAACTTTGTTTGCGCATCTGTTGTGCATATGATTATTTCCTGCATGTGTCTGCGCTGTTTCGCATTCTGTGACGTTACATTTGCATCAAATTTTTTTTAAATAATCACTCCTCTGTTTATTTTTTACATGTGTATATATGTTTTTTTTTAAAAAAATCCTGAGTGTCTTAAAAGAATTGTTGAAAGAAAATGCTTTAGAATGTACTGAAATTTACTTTGTATGTATCGATCGCACAATTAGAACACAGTAGAACGTCGTTTATCTGAATCAATTGGGACCGGACAGCGTTCGGATACGCGATTGCCCGGATAACCGAACACCGAATGCGTTCCATGCAGTATATGAAACCGGACACTATGCTAATATTGAAAATCATTACATGCGGGAAACGTGCTTGAAGACAAAGCAAAGTAGGTGCAAAATGTCGCAATTTTATCTTTATTGTGGAAAATAATCACTAATTTTTCGCTGTACCATTGTACACCTTCGTTTTTTCGCTGCAAAGTCTCTGATTATCTTGAGCAGCAGTAGTTGAGTAGAAAGCACTAGTGTTTGTTCGTACCACTCCATAGCTGCAGTAGTAGTTGAATAGAAAGCACTCTGATGTTTGTTCGTATCACTCCATAGCTGTCTTTAACGCAGAAAACGCGCCAGCATTTGATGGGCCCTTGCTACTTTCGTTGTTGTTGTCCTCGTCTTCATCCGTTTCATCGTCGACAGGGTTGGATTCTGCTTGCACAGAAGTCACAATCTCGTCATCGTTTAGCATTCAAAATCCTCTGAGTCTTCTGCATCGATTGCCATCCAAGGTTTCTGTATCTTCATTGTATTCTTGAAATCCTGGGATCGATTGGACAAAGTCGGTAGTCTCATCCCTGTGGTCGTCATTGTAGTCTTTTTCGCCTTCTAAATTGACAAAAGTTGACAAAAAAAAAAAAAAAAAAAACTGGATCGGATATTTGACGCTCCGGATAATTACGTTCGGATATAAACGACGTTCAACTGTACATTGAAAATCTTAAGAAGCCGCATTTGTCTAGTGGCCATGATCATTTTGTCGAGTTGTCAAGTCGAAGCACCGCAACAAACCCGCATTGTAAAAGGGGTAAATGCGCATTAAATATGTCGAGGTTCAAAGTTCTTATTTTGGCGTGGTGTGGAACTTAAGAGGGTGGGGTGCTAGCTCAGGTATCGTTTTCGTCGCTTGACCGTGGTTCGAAAGTATTCGTTGCCAATAGCCTTGGTGTAACTACAAAATACGATGTCAATAAACAATCATTGTTAAAGACCAGTGGCGTAACGGAGAATATTAGGCCCCCTCTGCAAAGTCAGTGTTAAGACCCAAGCCTAAATAAATACTTAGAGTCGGTCAGGCTTTAGGGTCCCTAGAATCCTTCCCTCACAATGCGGTGTGGGGGGTGTACGTTACGTCACTGTTAAAGGCGGATATGTAGAAATTTATAGCATGTTCAAAATAGTTCGATTGTGTTTAATAGAGAATTAAATTTGAAATATATAAAATTGCTTGAAAAAGTTTCTTCCACTCGTAAAAAATGTGCGATAGTTCCTTTAACATAGTGGAAGGAATATAAATTTAGTTTATTGAAACATTCACGAAAACTATAACCTGCTGAAAATTTTTGTTTGCATTCCACCTTTATAAATATAGCCGCGGCAGCTAAGTGGTTATGGCCACGAGCTCGTAGCCGAAGATCACTGGTTCCTGTTCTGGTGCCACTGAAGACCAGCGGTGTAGAAGAGAACCGATGCACGTTAAATCTATTGTAGTTCAGTGACCTCCTGCTGTGATGTGGTAACTGGGAGAGGAAGGTGCTAGTTCATATGCCGTCTGTTTTTGTTGCACGCCCCCATTAGTCAGCAGTGCTAGACCAGGTACTTTACAGCGTACACTTTCAGAAAGTCCAACTCCAGCAAGGGAACGTCTGCTTAGTCCTGATTGGTGAGCCCTAGGCACTCAAGGATGTGAGCAGGCGTGGTCGGTTCAGAAGAACAGTTCGTGCACATTTCAAAGCTCTTGCGTCCTTCGGAAAATTTCATTGTTTTGATATGGCCTCTTCTCTCTCTCTCTCTCGAAAGCGGGCTAGAAGTGTTTGATCCTGTCTTGTAAAACCGTGAGCCAGAGAGCCTCCAGGACGAGAACACTGATACCAATGGTGCTCTGAGGGGGTAATCCAAGCGGTCTTATTCTGGTGTTAAGTTCTAGAGAAAATCTCCAAAAAGGTGAGGGGTGTTGATGGCTCTGGTACCTCGCAAGCGCCAGCCTTGGCCAAAGCGTCCGCAATCTCATTTCCCTCTAGATCTATGTGAGAGGGAATCCACTGCAGATGAATTTGATGCGATGTGGAAAGTCGTCTTGGTCACTTGACCGTGGTTCAAAATTATGAGGTCTGTCACCAATAACATTCATTTTTTTATAATGCGACATTAAAAAGACTCTCACTCACTCCACCTTTATGAATACACAATGTATGATGTGATTTATCTACTACACGTCCATAAGACAACAGTATTAAGTGACATCAATCTCATTCTCTATTGTCTTTCTGGCATTCTAGAAATAGTTTCACCCAGCTGTAGTGTTTTGGTTCATTTAGTTAAAACCACCACATATTTTTTAAAACAAATCTAAGCCTAAATTATTTTTGGAAACAATACATAAACTCTGAAGAAATAATTGGCTTACAGATGTTTGTGTTATAGTTTTAAACAGTTCGTGAAGGAACTTTTTCTTTTCGTGTGTTACGGAAATAAGCACATTCCTGGAGCATCTTCCCTTGAGGCAACTATGCTTCGACGCCCCCAATTCTTTCCCTCTTGAGTGACCTCTAAGGGTCATTCCTAAGTCTCTGGTGCCACATAAATACATTCAATCCATCATCTGAGAGATGGCTATAACTCATCTTATCTCAAGGCGCCCACTTTCCGTCTTGGGGCTTGACTCATTCTGTAATAATTGGACAATTAAATCAATGGAGGGTTCAATTAGAATTAAAGTTGTTGGAAATAAGGAGGGAGAAATTTAAGCTTCGGAGTGATTGATTAATTTGTGTATTAAATTTGAATTATATTAATTCGTAGGGTGTTTTAAAGGTTCCTTTGTTGGAAAATGGTTTTCTTGTTGATTTTTCTGCAGAAAGAAATGCCGTCTGTATAATAAAATTGTCTGATTTTTATGCTTGCTTGTGTTCAGTCCTGATTAAAAATTGCAATGTATTTGATAAAAAAAATCCTTTTTTTTTCTTATTTATTTTCCCCCACCCTTCAAATTTAAAGTAGAATATAAAGTTTTGATTAAAATTAAAAATTTCTTAAATTTTAGTTCCATGTTTGTCATTTTACTTCATTTTTTTTTCATAACTTAGGGGAAATATAACAAACTAAATACCTAACAATGATTTCTGAAGGTCGACTTGGTGACTTAGAGGTAGCATGCCCAAAGATTGCGGGCTCGATCCCGGCTGGAAACGATAGATTTACTAGATGCGAAAATTGTAGACACCCACGTCATACGATTATATGGCATATAAAAGATCCCTTGTGTATCAATCTGGCTCTATTACTCTTGACAGAATTAAATCATGACATTATTTAGCATTCCATGAGAGCTTGAATTGAACAAATTCAAGCGTCAAAATTAGGTAGTGGGACCTGCCACTAGATGGTGCCACCAATGGCTCTCACACTTGAGGACTTGCCGTGTCTTCAAAGGCTAAACTTCCATAATGCGTCCCATTTTGGGGGAAAATGATTGCAGATGAATTAATATAATTTTAGTTTTATGTTCCGCGAAACAGATTTACAGTCTCAACGTTACGTAAATAATGGATTTTAACGATTTTTATTTTTAACAATAAAAATGAAAGATACCTTAATATTTTCTCAACATTTTTTTAATTTGATTTGATTTTTTTGTTTTGTTTTGTGGGCCTATATTTTACATTTTTTTAAAGAAAAATGACAATGCAATAGTTAAATTTTTGTTAGCTTATTATTTTCCATATACCTCTTATACGAGTACGTATCCATTTTGCAAGGGGGGAAATCATCACTAGATATTTCAAATCCTTTATTTTGAATCAGTGTTGTAATCGCCCATAACTCACTCCTTAATTTGTTTTACTACATTTTTACCCAAATATGTAAGGAATTTGTCTCAGTGCTGATGCCATACGTTTCTGAACTTATCGACTAATCTTTTTCTTTTCTTCCCTGCAGGAATTCAGAGAAACGGAAAGAGAAATCTAGGGATGCAGCTCGATGCAGACGCAGCAAGGAATCCGAGATCTTCTCGGACTTGTCAGGCCAGCTGCCGCTGCCCCAGGGAACGGCCTCTTCTCTGGACAAGACCTCCGTCATGAGGCTCACTGTAGGGTACCTCAAGATCAGGGAGATGACACGACTCTTCGTTCGTGAGTACATCTGTGATTTACATTGCTTTTCCTATCGTCTAATTGCATAACACAATCAAACTCAGG